TATTTGTTAAATTTCTGTCAGGCAACGTTAGCATGTTAGCATGAGCGGATATAAAACATTTAAAATAAGCACGAAAATAGTTCCCACCAAATGTTTCCAATGTGTTATTCATCATTAGAATTTAAAAACGTTTGATATCGACAGATAAAGTTATAGAGATGAGCAAACGTTAGAATTACAGCACATACGAAGTCGTAAGATAATTGTTTTAGATTTGTATGACTTAATTGAACCTTTATGACGGAATATGAATTATGAATAATGAAATGAATTATCTCAGAAATGATGCATTTGATGCTATTGTTCGCTTTCAACCGTCTGACAGTTATGTGAGTTCTTGACAGCTGCAGAGACGAATTTGTGAAAGTCTATTAGTTGGTTTGATTCAGTTTCATTCCATAAATGAATGTGCTTCTAATAGAATGTTTAATATTTTGCATTGGTATGTTCTGTTTTTATTGAATCCAAAGGCTGAATCCAGCTTTAGTGGTATTATTATATTGTTGATCATGTGTGTGGAGGTGAAGTTTGAATCTCACAGCCTTCGTGTTCAAAACAAAACATACATGATCCTCTTGGTTAAATATAGCAGGGACTCGATCTCTCAAGCATCTGGGCACACGAGGCTGTTTTTGACATTGTTTACTGCGTTCAAGAGGGAAAATATTTTGGACAGTCTGTGTACATTCACAAACCGTGACCATTTTGACCATATTAACAATATTTGTATGCATTAAATATAGCTGTCTGGATGTGGCATGCATTAAATGTAATGCAGTCAATAAAGTCTTATGCAATGAATGCAGACCAGACTAGATCAAATTCACCCAGACTAGAAGATTATTTACTTTATTAGAGCAATGCATTAATTGCACAGAAAGCATTTAACGCATTGCATTCAGTTTCTAAAGTGGCTTTAGCTGTGTTGTTGAGCAATGATGACAGACAGACAGAGAGAGTCTCCAGCTGCTGTTATGTGTTGATCATGCGCTTTCATAGCAGAAAACACATTACTTCCTTCCTGGAAACGGCACATAGCGGAATAGTGCTCCTGTGTATTATCTGATGCATTGATCTCTATATTTTACCTTTCTGTGGCCATGTGAACATGAAGGACTGATGCAGTAGGTAGGTTATAACTCTCTTGCACCTGTGCTGCTTGTGTGTAGAGTTAGTGCTGTAGATGTGTGGTTGTGTGTAGTAGATCTCTGCTTTATTTCAGAGCTCAGACTTTGTCAAGTTCAGCAGGTCTCCAATGGCAGGAGTTGAAGGACTCTTGGCTTTGATGGTCAAGTTAGAGATCGTCTGTGCTCCTGATGGTCGTGTCATTGCGGTGTCACCTTTATGAAGCAGGTGGTGAGCCTGTGGGGAAACACAAGACGAAAGCTGATAGCAGGCAGCTGCTTGATTCTCTGACATCTGAGAGGAGCTTTTAACCAATTTAAATACATTTCTGAGACTAAGGCTGATGATACACGGGGCAACTTTTTGAGCAGTGTTGCCATCAACGGGCAACCAGGTGAGGAGACACAGGGCCCACGACCGATCTAAAGTATCCAGATAGAAATGTGTTACCCATTCTCAATGGGAAAGTGCCCAAGCAACATTGCTCAAAAAGTTGCCTCATGTATCATCAGCCAAACTTGTATGTGAACCCATGAGGCAGTTATATAGTAGTTTGTGTGTCTTCCTGTGGCTAGCACAATGCTAATGGTGCAGGAAAACCTGAGAAGAGGAAGTTGTTTGGCTGTGATGTTTTGAAGGCGTTGTATCCGTTTTGCTCCATCCATCCTGCTCAAAATACTGTAGATTAAAATAAGCAGATGAACAATAGTGGTGACACTGTTTACATTGTTGTTGAGCGAAGTTGCACCTGTTATTGTTCCAGATGAATGTGGTTTCATGAATGCTATTTGCCAAGCTAGTTGCCAAGGCAACACTTCTCATTTTTATTTAGTTTAACTTGATGTAATAAAATAACTAAAACTGAAATAAAATGAATCAAATGACAAAACCACAGTAGAAATGACTAAAACTGGCTAAAGTAAAAATGAGTAAAACTGACTAAAATGAAAATGGAAAATATAAAAGGAAAACATCCAAATAAAAGTATCTTATATAGATTTTAAAATAACACTGAAACTCAAAATATTTATGTCGGTAAATATCTATTTTAACCATGATTAAACATTTTTGTTTCTCAAAAAAAAAAAAGAGGAGTTTATTTCAGCGAGTTGCTAAAGCAACATTTCTCATTTTCATTTAGTTTTCGCTTGATATACTGGAATAACTCAAACTAAATTGAAATAAAAAATAATACAAACTGTATAGACTAAACTACAATTGCAATGAAATAGGAAAATGTAAGATAAAAACTAATTCAAAATATGAATAAAAACTTGTTCTTCACTGTAGTATTTGAAAAACAAACAAGCAAGGTTATTTTTTATGATATATAAATTATATAATTAAACTTCGTAATAACAAATCAAATGTATGAATTAAAATGAATGAATTGATTCTTTTTTTTTTTATTCAGGGCTCGCAAAATTTCAAAATCCCTGGTAGCCCTTTGGGCAGGTACTCTTCAAATTTTGGTAGCCCTTTTTTTTTTTTTTTTTTTTTAAATATAGAAAATCTGTTTAAATGTCAATCAAAAATATTTTCAATACACGAATATGAAGGAAGGAATTTATGACCTATTTTAAGAGCTGCACAAGTAAAATAAACACAGTATGAGTGGGTTTGGACAATGTCTGTGGTAACAGTACTGAGCCATAAAATTACATGATTTACAGTTCAGATACAGGTTTTCACAAAAACAAAAATCTTATACAACAGCATTTCAGCCTTTAGACCTTTTTTTATGAAAATGGATAAATCAAGCTTTAACATATTTAAAACTTTTTATGGCCTTAAGTTTGATACAACTCACTTTAGGAGTTTTTAAGGACCCGCGGGAGATCTGCTTTTAAGATACATTTTGGTAGCCCGACTGGAAAACACAATAGCCCCGGGACGTCGGGCTAGCGATTTTGCGAGCCCTGTTATTCATGATATTATTTTACTCAAAATATTTGAAATCATATGCATTATTCATTGGCAAGTTAGATTGTGAAAATTATACTTTCAAATGTAAGTATTTAAAATGCTTTCAAATATAATGACATAAATCAGCAAAAGCAAAATACTAATTTCAAATATAGGCCTATAAATTGGTCTGAAATAAGATGCATCAGATTCTTTGACCTGTTCTGTTTGACAGCTGCTCAGTCTTATGTAAGTCCAGTCCAGTGTGCCGAGTGTCCCAGCGGATTCGCAGTAAGTCTGGGTGACTGTCAGAGGAGCAAAGGGTTGCAGCAAATATACACACAAACAACATAAACATGCTGTAATCTGTACATTCACATTAGTTTCTGACGGCCTACTTACATGTAGGGCTGGGCGATAATTCGATAACAATATTTATCACGATATAATTTTCCTCGATAAAACGATATGAAGATTTCGATAAATGTTTGATAATGTTTATGCGCCAAAAATGGAACGAAACAGCGCAACTTATTTGAATCGTGCCACACGGACCGTTTATCCGCACGGATTAAAGTTCAAACTGCCGCACCGCGCAGCTCACTAGAGCAGATGCGTTTACTCGATCACGCAAGCATTAAGCAGCGCTGTGAGATCCAGTGAGAAGCGCTTGAACTCAGCGATGAAAACAAATGACTCGTGATTTAAACTAGTTTAAAGCCAAACAGGAGAAACACTGTGTGCAACGAGACAGTCAGAAGGCTTTTCAATCTACAAATCGCCATAATTTACCATGGATTTACTGTAGTAACACTCACTGCACCATGGTATTGTGGCAAAAATATGGGATATTCACACTGAATTTTATTAAAGTAGTAATGGTATATAATTGTAGTATGTATTTGATTAAGCTATAGCATGTGTGCATTTATACTGAATGTTTTTAGACTGTTTTTCATACAAATAGGCTACCTAAAATAATAGTTATATTTTTATCATGGTATTGAGGTGCTATATGTGTGGTTTTAACCGTGTTTATCATGATTTAAATGTAGGCTATTATGGGAGACCAATGCTTAATAAAAAAATAAAAACTTGGTCAGAATAAATTTAACCATATATAACTGAGGTTGCTACAATTTTTACAGATGTTACTGATTTTGATAATGAACAAAAATGTATCTCTGCATCCTAACTCAAGCGACTATCAAATGTGCATTTCTAAGAGACAAAAAGTGATTATTACTATTATTAATAAAAGTATTATTATAATTATATATATTATTAATAATAATATAACAAATATTATTATTAATAATATTATCAGGCAACCCAAACCTGTTTCTTGATTTGAAACAATATCACGCATTAGAACATGCAGAAATTAAGAAATAATTTTTTCTGTTTAGATATTTATTTTGTCAAGGGAAATTAATGGTCTGCTTTCTACAACTTTCACTTTGGAGCAAAAATCTGCCTTTATACTTGAAAGAAATAAAGATTGGACATTTATCGTGATAATTATCGATATCAACTGATATGAAAAAAATCATTGTGATAATTTTTTTCGCCATATCGCCCATCCCTACTTACATCATGTTCTCGCTTGTAGCTAGTGCTGTTCTTTAAAACAGTTATGAAAGCACACACACACATGCTCCTGCCTTGAGGTTGGGTTATGAAAAGCATCCACAGTCGTATGCATTGTCCATCCTCTCAATGTTTTTGTGTGTTTCCATGAGCTGGATTGTTAAGTAGAAAAGACGCTGTAGTGTTAAATGTAACCGTTGGATATTTGCACCTGCTTCATGGATGAATGCTGACACTTTTGGGCTTTGTTGCAGTTGCAGTTTATTTTTTTATATATATGTTTAAACTTCTGTTTGGCTCTTTGTACAACACAACGTGTGTGTTTATGTTGCAGTATTTCCAGGCTGCCAGAATCTCTGAACAGTGGCAACTTCAGCATGGACGACATGACTGGTACAAACAATCTCATGTCTTGTAATGTAATCCATTGAGCACCGCATGACTAGAACTGAGAATCACTAACTACCTCACGATGCATTATATACACATCTCGATGTCACAATTCAGTATGTCACGATGCATGACAAAATCGGTTCAAATTAATTCCCTCAATATGTATTGACACAGAAAAATAATATATGCATGTTTAAAGTGAAACTGTCATAAACTTGTATATACATTTATATACACTCTATTACACACAATACACATTCACAGAAAGCACAAATGAGCAATTTGTACTTTTTAACTATTTTGCAGATTCTTTTAAGGATGTAGATCTGTTTACTTAAGCACATTTAGGACTATAGCCTCTGTTGAATTATAGAGACTGTTTGTGCAAAGGAACAAGATGAAAAGTTAAATATTGTTGTTCCCTCCAGCCTTTTACCTTTAACTCTAGTGAAGACTAGTGGTCGACCGATATTGTTTTTTTGACAGCCGATGCCGATATCTTGGAAAGTAGCTGATATAATTGAATTTAATTTAATTCATATTTAAGAAATGTGAAATAATTTGAAAGTGTATTAAAAAATAAATGTGTTAAATAAACATACTTATACTTTAGATGACAAAGTATTTTTCATAAATAAATATTTAATACAAATATAATTAAAAAGGAAGTAAACACTGTAACCAACAGGGCACTCAGTATTCTGGGAAGTTTGTGTGCATTAATCATATTTTTTCAAATAAAGCCAAGGTAACACTCATTTTACATACAGCACACAGTGAAAATGACATGAATATGACAGTGGTCAAATGCATAAAGTGAAGCATAATTTAAAATCACGAGTTTAAAGTTTGTCGATCGCGCGTCTCCAATGAAGCTGAACTCTCCTCCTGTCCACATTCAATTCGCACGGATCGACCGTCACGCAGAGAATGCGATCATGCAGGATACACATGCACACTTCACAAGATCTCACAACTGGATCCAACTAAGTTTGCAAGGTTTTTGAAATTAGATGTTTATTAGACATTCAAAGATTTGTTTAAATGATATAAATGCGTATTTGCTGAATGCTGACGGCAAACAAGAAAGTATTATAATGTTTGCCTTTCTATTACTAATAATATAAAAGCAATCGTTATAAGACTTTTTGTATACATTTTAATTCCTTTGTTTAACCGTTCTGATTATTAGACTTCTATCCATATTTAGACAGAACTGTCAACGACAACAGTGAACAAGAGGGACAATTTGAGCACTGTGTGCTCAGGCGCTGCCGTTCTCAACGCCGTCAAAATAAAAGTCCCGCCTCGAATGCATCGGCCAAACAGGAAAACTTATCGGCCGATGCCGATATTTTGCATTTTTTTAAATCGGCCTTGGTGATATATCTGTCGACCACTAGTGAAGACACACAGTCTGACACACTTGTTGTTTTTCTCTCTGAAGTCTGTCCTTGCGTATCAAACCACATGGTCTTAATCAGATTTTCATCAAAGCCTCAAAGGGTCAAATGGAAATAAGTGACACAGTGATCATTTTTGGAGTGAACAGAAGCCTGTTTGTTGTTCATTTGTTCGTCTGTTGTCTTGTCGTTTGCAGCGCCTCTGTTTCCAGGGCAGAGGATGTCTCCAGCCAAAGCTCTGACTATGAAAGATTACGAGAATGTGAGTACAATAATATCAGAATGTTTGCTTTTGTCTGTTTTCTTATAATGAGAGAGAGAGAGAGAGACCTGGTGAATGTTTTACCTAGACAGCCTTTTTAGGCGAATGTTTTAAATTTTTTTTAATAAGCAGCAGTTTTTTTTTCGTAGCAGACCGTGCAGTTTAAGCAAAATCAAAGCAACACAGATTTGTGCATTTCCTTGATTTATAATGTAAACACCTTGATTAACTTTCTTTCTGCAAGTCTGTTTATGTTATGTTTTGACATCAAAATCTGAAAATTTCTAAATAACGTTTGAACAGTTTTTTTTTGTTGTATTCTTTTAAAAAAAAATTAACCCTTAAAATGAATTTGATTATGAGCTACTCACCCTCAGGCCATCCAAGATGTAAATTAGTTTGTTTTTTCATGGGAACAGATTTGGAGAAATGTAGCATTCCATTACTTGCTCGACAATGGATGCTCTGCAGTGAATGGGTGCTGTCAGAATGAGAGTCCAAACAGCTGATAAAAACATCACAAGTAATCCACACACTCCAGTCCATCAGTCTTGTGAAGTGAAAAGCTGCATGTTTGTAAGAAACAAATTCATCATTAAGCTGTCGCTTCTGGACAAAATACCAGAATCCATACTCCATAATAACCCTGTTGTCCTCTCAAATCAAAATCCACAAACAGAATTAGAATTATTTTAGATTGTAAATGGTGCTTATTTCTCTCCTGATTCAGATGAGGCGTCTTTTTCTCTGGAGAAAGCAATATTATAGATAGAGGACTTGTATTTTAGCTGGAAGCAACAGTTTGAAGTTAAGACATCTTAATAATGGATTTGTTTCTTACAAACACGCATCTTATCGCTTCACAAGCCATTAATTGATGGACTGGAGTGGTGTGGATTACTTGTGGATTATTGTGATGTTTTTATCAGCTGTTTGCAGAGGATCCATTGCTGAGCAAGTGATTTAATGCTACATTTCTTTAAATCTGTTTCGATGAAGAAACAAACTCATCTGAGTTTGAGTAAATTTTCAGCTAACTTCATTTATAACGGGTCGTATGCAACTAATTTGGTTTCTGTGGCAATGATGATATTCTGGTATGGAATATCTGCCTGTCAATTTAAGGAAAAGTGTTTATTTCTTTGTACTAAGATAAAGATCTGTGTGCATTCCTGCGGCTGTGTATGTCTGAATGAGAGAAAATCTGTTTGTGTGCTGTAGAAACACAGAGATCTTTCAAAGGAAGGTGCAACTTGCCCACCACTGTGGTATTTGTGGTTATTCCAGACTCTTTCGTTCCATTTCTATATCTTTCTTTCCCTTCCCCCTCTTTCTGCCCCAGATGTTGAAGTGAAAAACGCTTGGAGTACAATGACGCACAGTTCACTGCCCTGCCAGCCTCTCTCTCGCTCTCTCTCTCTCTCACACACACACACACACACACACACACTCATGCCAACCCTCATTACTGACCCACACAGCCTGTTATAGTCGCTCTGTTTTTTTTTGGCTCTCGTCTCCTCCCTCCCCATCTCTCTTTCAGTAATTTGGAGAACAGCTTTGCTCATGTTTATTCATGAATGAGTCTGAATATTGTAATGAGGAAGAACTGAGTATTCAGAAACAAGGACAGTTCAACTGAAATGAAGAAATGTTTTTCCTGTCTGTGAATGAATCATTCAGTCTGGTTTTGTGAACTGGATCATTTAAAACGTTTAACCTGAAAGAATCACTAGTTCATGAATCTGAACTTTCATGAATGTCACAGGAAAACTTCTATTTTCTGTAAATAACGGTCTAAGTTTCGATTTGTTCCTTAAAATATTCCACACATATTGCTTAAATAGAAAATGCAGGTATGTTTTCTCCTTGTTTATAATTGACCCTTCGCAAAAATCTGCCCCCCTTCGTTACTGTTGCTATATCCGACAAGCCATGGCGCTCTCACGGCTCACATCATGTTCTGACACAGTGAAAAATACATCGCAGAGCAAAGAGGAAACTGAAAATGCACTGACAAGACAGAGCATGTTACTTCTGGTATGAAACAAAGGTTCTGCTTTCATATTTTGTCTTTTTTTTTAAAGAAATACAAACAATAAATACCATTTTGTGGCTCTTTAATGTGTCATGACATGTCATTGCTGTAGTGCCTCAGTTTAAGCTGTATGTGAACCAATCATCTCTTCCTCTTTACTAGTTATTGCATGAAATAAACATGAATGAACATAAGAAGGAATCTTCTTTCAACCGCAGAAAGATGTCATTACACACCATTTTTCAACAACAACATTAATCTACTCTCTGGTCTGGTTTGTTTGTTGGACAAAAATGGCAGATTTGGCGTTATGATTGGTCAGATCACCTGTCAATCAAACTCCCTGTGCAGGATCAATTGTCTGTGTGTTAATAGAAAGTATTTTGGAAATGATTTCTATGGTTCCCCTTCAGCAAATCACAGCTCTGAAGAAGGAAAACTTCAACCTGAAGCTCAGGATCTATTTTCTGGAAGAACGTGTGCAGCAAAAATGTGACGACTCCACGGAGGACATTTACAAAACGGTGACAGACACTCACTGTTACAAACACACTAGTGTACAAATATGACATTGTTCATTCCTGCATATTAAAGCAAGCAGTGGTTTTGTGCTTGATGATCTCAGTTTTTTTTATTGTTAGTAACTTGTCTTGTTTGTCTGTGTGTGTAGAACATTGAGCTGAAGGTGGAGGTGGAGTCAATGAAACGAGATCTGGCTGAGAAACAAGAACTGCTTGTGTCTGCATCGTAAGTCCTACCCACTTGTTTACTTCCTATTTTTACTAATTATTGGTCCGGTGTGACAGAGCATCAAAGCAATGCATCCCGTTTCTTCCTTGTTCATCTTGATGCTTGTTTGTCAAAACAAGTGCTACATTTTATCTCTTGATTTCTGTTTTTTGTTTCTGTTTGACAGTTTTAAAGTGTAGCTCCGCCCATAGTCAAATTGGATTGATCCATAATTAAATTCCACATAGCCATTAAACATTAAATTGTTCTGATTGGCTGTGAATTCATTACCTAGTGGCAACATTTTGCTCTAAGTGGGACAGAAAAATAAACTGTCAGTTAAAAAAAATAATCTATATATTTTTTTTATTAATTTTAATAAAATTATACTGATAATATTAATAAATTAATAATCTATTTTACTGATATGGCTTATAATACTGAAAATAATGGTTTTGTTGACAGTAATGTGCAAAGGGATGAAAACCTGTAAAACTGCAAACAGACCCAAATTTTCAAACATTTAGAAAAATGAATAAGCTACAAATGTCATACGTTTTTGAACAATTGAACACATTTGTTCAACCATTGTTGGTTGTAAGAAACGGATCAAAATGGTGTGTGTTTGTTTGTGTAGGAAAGCATTAGAGAGTTTAGCCAGTCGAGGTGTTGATGATAGCAGAGAGAAGATGCAGAGAGAAATGGACTCACTCAGAGAAGCTTTCAGCGCTCGGATTCAAGAACTCGAGGAGGTAAAACAAACACCACAATGTTTATAACAGATGTTTGAGAATGTGTTTTCTTCAAGAGAATCTTTAGTCATTGCTTTATCTTTCTCTTAAGTCTCTGCAAGCTGCTCAAGAGGAACTGGAAAGCATGGCCACCATAGCTGAACAGGAGAAGCTGAAGAATCTTGGACTGGAGAAAGAGATGCAAGCCACCAACCAATCAGGACCCTCAGCTGATTCAGGCTCCACCCCTGAACGGGTTAGAGAGCTCCAGCAGGCCCTTCAGGAAAAGGAGAGGTGATTAAAAGAAATTAAAATACTGAAACACCAATTTACATTAACAAAGTGTAACTATTAACATATCCCTGATTTGATTTCCACAGTGTTATTGAGCAGCTGCAGGTGTCACTCAAGAATCAAGATGCCATGATTGGAGAGCTTCGGAGGAATGACCCGAACCAGCCAGTGGCAGAGCAGATGGCACAGCTGAGCTCCCTTATTGGCCAAAAAGACAGCCAGCTTCAGGTTAGTCTCTTAAGGCGTCTTTACATAACTGAGTTATGGCTGCTCTGTGCCTGCTCAAAATTCCTAATGCTGCATAAAAGCCAGACTAAGTTATACCTGCTCTGGCTCACCTCAGGCTCTAGTATAAAAGTATACACTTGAAATTGCTGTGTAAATGCCTTTGTCATCTCATTACACAGTCTGTGTAAATATGCCTAATTGCCAGTTCATAAGCGCTTCTGTGTCGCCTTTGCAGTGTAAATTTGGCGTCAGTTTTGTAAAGCACAACAGCTTTCATACATCAAGTTTTGTGCTATCTGTTACACACATGCGCAAACACTGAGTAATTTGTTTATTTTTACAGGCTCTTAGGGAAGAACTAGACCGTGGGAGAGAAAATGCAGAGAAAGACAAAGAGGTAAGCAGACAGCTGTTCACATTGTGTCACCATAATATTCCACTTTGTGAGTACTTGTATAGAGTAAAATTTACTTTTAAGCAAGCCAGCATGATGATATTGGCCTGTGTGATTCATTGGGTGGTTAGTTCATACATGACAAAAATGGTTGTAAAGGTAGAAAGGGGCTTGAAAGCTGATTCAGATTTCAGGGGTTTCTTTGTGCATTTAAAAGGATAATAGTGTAAATCTGTTCATTTTAAAGTTTTAAAGTAATTCCTATAAGATATTAGGACAAATCTTGTAATTAAAAATGACAGTAAACCTCAAAGAGTGTGAGAACCCAGTCGAAGGGCAATGTGCTAAGCTGGATTAGCAGGTTGACAGCAGTCTGTGACTGTTGCAAATGGAAATCAAGCATTAAAAAAACATATCTCGGGGTCCTGTGCTCAGTTTGGACAGGTGTGTGCAATTGTTTGTGTTCAACTTTTGAAACTTTGGATGCTGGGATGTTCTGGGTGTTCACTTAGCAGTAGTTTATAAGTGTTTTTTATCAAATCCTAGTCGTTGCTAGGTGTTTGTTATGTGTTCTGGCCAATGCTAAAAGAGTCCACTCTAAAATCTCTAATATTCTGGTCTGTAGATATGGCTCAGGTCCCACCTTCAGTACTAATCTGCGAGATTTTCAGGTGAACATTGTAAGTCTGATTGAGTTATGCATCAAAGATTAATACTTTGTGTTAAGGGTTTGTTCGGATCATCAGAAATGTATTGTTTCTTGCATACGTTTCATGCAAGCATGTGACCTGTAACATCCTCAAGGCACAGCAGGAGCATCAGTGGCCCAAATACAACTCTTCTCATTGGACGCCCACTGAGCTGAGTGGATTACTGTGTGTGGGTGTGTTAGCAGATGTTGCGCACATCACCCAAAGGATTTCCTGTTTGCGGATTAAAGGGTTTAAATCTACGTGTGGGCAGAGTGTAGTCCGTTCAGATTCAGTGCAGAGCAAGACGCACTGAAAGACACCAAGGCAGATGGATAGCAGGATTGTAGTGTTAGTCTGATGAACATGCGTGACCCATGCCGTGTATGTGGCGTGTGCGTGCAGGGTGGTCAATGTCGCTGGTTGTTCAGCGCATGTGGCCGTCTGAGGTTGGCGGTCATCCTTTCACACGTGTTGGGCGTGGAATTGCAACGAGATGGCTGCAGCGAGTTTCTCTGTGGGAAATGCGTGTTTTTACTCGAGCGCATAGTGCAATGCGATGTCGCCATTGGACAGCTGCAGGAAACGCACGCTGCTCAGCTGCAGAGACTGCAGAATGAGAGAGATGGCCTGAAAGCTCAAATCACAAACAAATACAGACAACATAACCCGACCAGACTAGGTGGAAACGTACCTCTTAAACAGGAAGTTCTGATTGGAGCAAGCTTAAATACTCCAAAGCAGCTGCAATGCATTCGGCGACCTCAACCGGTTCAACCAAAGAAGCACCAAACATGGATTGCCAGTGTCCAGGAAACCCTAGGAAGAAGTCATGGGGTTGTTTCTGTGATTTCAGGTGGTGACTGCCAACAAGATAATTTTAATGGTCGATTGAGGAGGTGTGTGAGCCTCGAGCCGCTTAGTAAAACAGGAACAGATCTTTCACAACGTTCAAAATTGAATCCTTCTTCACGACAAAGTTCAAAAACCGCTGGTGTGCCGGTAACCCGACCTCGCTCTCTTAGTCGAGACTACTTGGACGTCGTAAATAAGAAGAGCGCTTTAATTTCACGGTCAACTTCCCTCCAATCAGTGGCCCTGGAGCAGTTTGACCACGCCCTCGTCAGTGCCTCACCCCTCAGACAGACACGCCCACTGAGAGGCTCCACCCCTGCAACCATAGAAACGACCTCGCTGGTGTTTGATATATTACAGCTATTGAAGAGTGTGCAAGGAGTGCGGCCCGTCCCACGATCTAACAGTGGCAAGATTCCAGTACTAAAAAATCCACATTATACACATGGAAGCACCCACAGTGGTGTGTCTTGGAAATCAAAGCTAGAGAGAAGTCTGAGAGAGCTGGACGAGGATTTTAATGATGAATACACACCTCTTAAACAGGAGGTACACCACTTATACACAGATTTTGATGACCCTCCGCTTTCTCAAATTATACTTAGGACATTAGGGCAATGCAACAGTTTTTTTAGCGGCAAATTAAATACATGTTTTTGTTTGTTGCAGGTGTTTGTTGAAAGACAGAATGAATGGAGCAGATTGGAGCAGAAAACCAGACAGCTGACTGAAGAACAGAATGTGGCCAAGAGCAGCAACCAGACGCTCAAACACACACTAGAAGAAACAGAGAGAGAAATGAAGGTAAATACTGTTATTGAAGTTAACTAAAACTAAAACAGTGAAAAATTATTTATTTACTTGAAATAATATACTTTAACTGAAATAAAATATAAAAAAACCTTAAACTTATTTTATAAATCTATGAATAAAAACTATATAGACAAAAAAACAGAACAAAATTAAAATGAAAACAGAAAATATTTAAAGAAAACCTCATTTAAAATATTGATAAAAGCTATAAAACTGTAATAGTATCTCAGTGATAATGAAATGCAAAATGACACTTTTTAGAAATAGATTCTATGCACAGATATTCTCTAAACTAAACATTGTCATTAAATTAACAGCAAAAGTTGTGTATTAACCCTTTCACACATGAGTTTAAAATATTCTAGCTGAGCCCCCAGCGTGAGTTTTTTTTAGGCGACCGTTATTTTAGAATGTACTGCCTTACTGTGCGTTCACACCGCCGCCGTCGAGAGCATCAAAGTGGCCGGAAGTCATTCATTTTCAATGTGGGCCGGCGTCGAGCAGTGGCGTGGCGCGACTTGGACATTGAGGGCATCGAGGAGAGTTGATATCAGGTCAACTTTATGGTAATGAGCTATGACGAGGTTCGGCGGCATCTGGCGGCAACCAATTGGAACGTAGAAGTCCACTGCTTGAGAGGATTCCAGAGAACGCAGTCCTGTAAACTTTGGTTCCGACCACATTAGTTCCCAAGCAAAATGGAGGAGAGGTTGATTATTGCTGTGGCGGGTTTCCCAATAATCTATGACATGTCCCTGTTTGCATACAGGGACATAAATAAAATAAAAAAATTATGCGAGGACCAAGGTGTCTGAGATTATTGGTGTTCCTGGTGAGTTGCTGATGTGCATTAATGTTATAGTAATAATAATCTAATGCCATAAATAATAGTATAATAGTCCCAGTTCACTTTTAAACCTTTAAATAAATTTTCCTGATTATACTTGCATTAAGTAATGTTTATACCTGATTATACTTACTTAAGTAACATTTTCAATGCAGGACTTTTACTTGTATCAGAGTATTTTTACAGTGTGGTATTAGT